TTTACACAAGGCATGTGTGCCTGCGTGGGGACTTTACTGTTTACACAAGGCATGTGTGCCTGCGTGGGGACTTTACTGTTTACACATGGTATGTGTGCCTGCGTGGGGACTTTACTGTTTACACATGGTATGTGTGCCTGCGTGGGGACTTTACTGTTTACACATGGTATGTGTGCCTGCGTGGGGACTTTACTGTTTACACATGGTATGTGTGCCTGCGTGGGGACTTTACTGTTTACACATGGTATGTGTGCCTGCGTGGGGACTTTACTGTTTACACATGGTATGTGTGCTTGTATGGGGACTTTACTGTTTACACGTGGTATGTGTGTCTGTATGGGGACTTTACCATTTAAATGTAAGGTACGGCCCTGTGTGGGAACTTCATTTACTATATGTGACTGGCAGATGTCAGGCCGTAAAATGGAGTTTGTGTGAGCTGGTGGTGAGGTTTTCTCTAAACTATTTAAGTTCACTGGTGACAAAAATAGTTCTGTTACCATATCCATTGCTTGTTTCTTTTTTCTGACTGAGAGATCCAAACAGCCTTCTAGTTCAATAGGAACTACCTCCTTTTTGTGTTCCTGGACTCTTGCAGTTGATGGATCTTGCTTTAGCGCTGAGGAATTCTTTTTAACAGTTAGGTCCAGAGCCTGACAGGTATCAACACCTAAGCATGTAAGGAGAACTTCAGAGAGTCCAGCATGGCTTGGATGCTGATTAGGATCTAATGGTGGTGATGGTGTCGAGGTCACTGGTGAGATGGGTTCATGATGAGCATGGCTGCCCTCTGGTTGATGAGCAAAGGACTCACTGAGGTAAGTTAATCTTGTCTTGGTAAGTTCACATTGAAGATCTGAAGTGGAGGAATGTGTGTTATAATACTGAACATTAAGAGGTAATGCACCATGGCTTAAAGCTGAAAGGGTGTTATTTTCTTCATTACTAACAACCCTGGTATTTCTAGGAAGAAGATTAGGATGGCCTGTGTAAGAAACAATTTGACTAGCTGCAGCATTGTCACCTGCTACTGTCAGTTGAGTTTGATGTGACCTGGTAGAACTTAAGGGCATCAAAGAGCTTGTTGTTGCCAAGGTTAAAGGCACAGACATTGGATATCCTGATGATGAAGTTGTAGGAAAGAACTTTGGGTATCTTTTTGTTAAATCTGAGGGTAACAACGAGGAAGCTCCTCTTGTCGAATTTGAGGGTAAGAATGCTGAAGATCCTGTCAGAGATGCTGAGGGTGACAACAATGAAAAACTTGTTGAGGAAGCTGAAGACAGTGGTGAAATTGTGTCATTTGCTTTGTATGGCAGATGATAAGAAACTGGAGATGGTACTGCGGTAGCTGGAGTTAATGGTGAGTGCCTGCTGATGAACTCAGGAAGTTTCTGAGCCACATGTTCTGCTTTTTTACTGAAAATATCAGGTCCAAAGTCCTGTAATGGAAGAGGGGATGCAGGTTCAGACACTGGAGAAACACGTTCATATATTGGTTGGGAAAATCCACTACTCTGCTCTGGAGAAGGTGATCTTACCTTCTCAGTATGATGAATCACAGATGGCCGAGAAATGGGTAGATCCAAAGATTCCTTTCCTCCAAGTAGGCCACCTCTAGTAGTTTGATTCCCTGATTCAATGATACTACCAGATAAAGAAACTTCTGGACTTAAGCCTTGGTTTACATGGTGGTGTGGAAGCAAAGAAAGCTGTGGATTACTATTAGTTGAAGCAGAAGTAACACGAGAAAAAAACCTTTTACGTAGGAAAAGTGGGGACATGATGCTTGTTTTGTAAATCAATTTTGGTTCTTGCACTGTGCTTGCTGTAGAGCACTCAAATTTCAAAGGTGAAGTTAATGAACCAACTTTGGCAACAGTCCCAGAATGTGATGTTCTACAGCTGCTGGGGATTTGTGCCATTTTGGGGTACTTGGGTAGACGTTTTTCTGAACTGTTTTCTACTCTATCCTTCATCTTAGTAGTGAAGTGTTGGAGGTGGAGTAAGGATGACTGGTGGGGGACGGATTCACTGCTTGCATTCTCTTGTTTTTCTAAGTGGTGCCCATTTAAGCTTATCTCACTCTGGCTTGATGATGAAGCTAATCTTGTAAGGTCATTGTTGTCACCTGGATTTAAAGAAGATACCTTAAACAGCTTGCTGTCTGCTAATGAGTTGGATTTGGATGCAGCTCTTGATGGTTGAACCTGTTTACTCTGAAGTTAGAAGTAAAAAACAAAAGAGAATACAATAAACTATATATAAAAAAAAACTTTCGTAAAACTACAAACATGTTTTGGAAGCTTTCGAATTTTTTGAAGATTATCTTTAAAATTTTTATTATCAAATTTAATTTCTGTAGTGAATATTGGTGTATAGAAGACATTAATACTAGAAATAAACAACTTTATAAGACCAAAATGTTGTTTTTATTTAATTAGCCACTCAATGGTTCACTCTACAGCTTCAGAAGCATTCACTAAAACACAAACTGATACTGACAGTACAAAGCTTCAAATGGTTTAAATAATAAATTATATATATATATATTCAAATTTATTATCCTGAAGAAGCTGTAAACCAAATGTTGAGTATCTAATTAAATAAAAACAACGTTTGGTGTTATACGGTCATTTATTTCTAGCTTTTATTATTTTAGCAGCACCAAAATATATATTATTTTTAATTACATTGAAGACTAGGAATACAACAAAAACCTTAAATCCAATGTTCAGTGACTACTTGGGAAATTTTCAGACCCATGTATGAAGTGTTGCTGAAAGAGCACGAAGAAAGAAACGTACCACCTTACGATCCAAGGCATTTCTTCTTCTGATTTCATTCCATCTCTTTTCTTTTTCAACAAGTGTGTCATCTCTCATTCCCTGAAGTTAGAGAAAGTATAATGTAATTTGGAGAACATTCAGTTCATGAAACGAAAGATACTTGTGAACTTATACATGATGTCATTAAATTCCTAAGACCTAACTCAGCCAAAAGCTACCTCTTTCAAAATTACCAATTTTTATAAACTATTTATTATCAACTTAATTGAACCATCTCTTTCAGGACTTTTTGATATCAACATTTATCACATGATTAACATCCATTACATCACAGTAGCAGCTTCATTATCCACTACAGCACTAGTGTTTTCAATAAAACCTTTAGTAAGAGGGTTGGTTATCCACTACAGCACTCATGTTTTCAGTAAAACCTTTAGTAAGAGGGTTGGTTATCCACTACATCACACATGATTTTAGTAAAAAAAAATTTACAGAACTTGTGGTTTTGGTAAAAATGTTAATAAATGGATTATCCACTCGAACATCCATAATCCCAGTAAAAATGTGAGTAGTAAGTGGATTATCCATTAAAAAAAATTGTGATCTTGGTAAAAACATTAGGAGAAATTTGGTTCTTGTGAAATTAAATGAAAATTTATTACAATTTAATAATAATAGCAATAAATAAAGAGTAAAACATAATACTGCACCATCATAACCAATATAAATATGAAAAATCAATTAGGACATCCATTATTGCACTCATGACTTCTGGATAGAAGTTTGGTTATTCAATGCTACTAATGATATTAAAAATATTATTCGATTGATTAATGTCATGAAAATAATCAACTAATTGAAATTATTACTGTTTTGGATTATTCCAACTATCCAAGTAATTAAAATATTGCCTTTATGATTTCTTTATTATTTTCAATTAATTCAAGGTTGTTCAGCTTAATCAAATATTGCCATGACTTCCGAAGATAATCAACCAATCAGCACATTCCACTAATTGCCCAGTTCTAAAGTCAGCCAATCAACGCTCTTTTATTTGTTTGTAGTTAAGGACAAAGCTACACAATGGACTATCTGTGTTATGCACACCATGGATATTGAAAACCAGTTTTTAACGTTATAAGCCATTACTTACTTCTGAGCCACTGGGGGGGCAAGGCTATTTTACTGCATTAAAGGTTGATACTAAAAGGAAATATGATGCAGATATATCTTACTATTTTACATGACAACTTGATCTCTTACCTTTTGTTGGGGATTTTTTCTTCTTCTTGACTCCCATTCTTGTTCCTGCCTTTCAAGATCACTGAGTCGTGTGTTATCCTGAAGAGAGTCTTCATTTTCAATGCAAACATTGTGATTTTTTGGCCTTTCTTCCTGATTCACTGCCTCACTGTGATAGGATGCAGATGACATACAGCTGTCATTGTCAAACACTGGAGGACTAGAGGTTTCTACTTCTTCTAGAACATAACTTCCATTCTCAAAATTTTCCGTGCGGCAAGCTTGGTCGGATTCTTCTTTCTTCTTCTTCTTACCAAACAAAGCAGCTGAAGACAAAGGGTCTTCAGTTCCTTTTACATATCTTTCAAATGATAAAAGCAGCCTGCAAATAGCATTGTAAGATTATAAGTTAATCTCACACTATTGATATCACAGTTACTTAAACACTATTTTTAAATCAAAAAGTCATTGAATCATTATCATCAATAGCTCATAAAAAAACAACAGGAAATATTTTGTGCAGGTTTCATGAACCTTTTAGTCTTTTAAAATCCTTAGAAAAATGAATTATCACCGTTATTTGTGAACTGTATAAGATGTCAAAACAATTAAAATTCAACCGTAAAAATTATTTTTTAAACTATCTTGTACAATTAATAGAAAATATAGTACTGAAATGACATAATAAATACCTTTAAGCGCTATGCTTAAAGCTGTGCTCTGTTCAAATTCATATTAAACACCTTTAATTAAGAGTTACTTATGAACTGGAATACCATTATTTAAGTTTTTTTTGAAATTACTCTAAAATTACTGTGTGAATTACAGTAAAATTACTTCAGCTTTACAACAGTGGCAACCACCTGGTCATACTAAATAGGTTGATTCATTTTTTTTAAATTTATTACTGTTTCAAGTTCCCCCATTTATTGTGGAACTTGGGACAGCTATGCTTCAAGGCTAGTTTGTTTGTTTATGAATTTCGTGCAAAGCTACACGAGGGCTATCTGTGCGAGCCGTCCCTAATTTAGAAGTGTAAGACTAGAGGGAAGACAGCTAGTCATCACCACCCACCGCCAACTCTTAGGCTACTCTTTTACCAATGAGTAGTGGGATTGACCATCACATTATAACACCCCCATGGCTGAAAGGGCGAGCATGATTGGTGTGACGGGGATTTGAACCCGCAGATTGCGAATCGAGCACCCTAACCACCTGCCCATGCCGGACCAGGCTAATTTGCATACTTTGTACAATCTAGATGTAACTCAAGACATAAAAAATATTAGTACATATTGTGAAACAAACTGTCCTATAATAATAATAAAAAGAGAGAGAGTAATATGTAAGTTATTGTCATCACCATACAGAGAAATAAAAGGCAAATATTACAAGATGAACTGTGTTTTAGGACCAAACTGTAGAAGGGATAAGGTGACAAATTTTATTGTAAACAGTTATTCTTTCCTGGTTAGTTTTTTTTTTTTTTGCGCATATGAAACACAAAGTACCTCTAAAAGTTAGTTTCTATTTTTATCAAAATGTTCGTAGGCCTAATTTTCATTTCAGATTTGTTAAAATAAGTTTTCATGCATGATCTGATAACGTATAACAACTTGAGAAAACATATATAATTAATAAGTTATAACTAACAGTGAAGTAGAACGAAATAAAGATCAGATTTTTAGAAAGTATTTTAACATAATGTTTTCTCCTGTTCGTTTAATCATGTGGAAAACAAAACAAAAAACTTGCGTCTTTTCTCGTATTGTTCATAATACACGCATAACGTCAAACAATGTACATTACAATACTTTGGCAGTTAAAAACGTAAGCTAACCCTACTAATCAGGTCATGATATTAACTTAAATATACTTGTACAGAAACTGAAGGTTAACGTACCGCTCATAATGTCTTCGTGTACAGGTGGCAGCACTAGTACTCCCTGGATTCCCTCCAAGTTCATCATATATATTTTTCCACAGTTTTTTTGATGTTATCTACGAAAATTTCAAACAATAGATATAACAACATATATTAGTCACACAATACAGTTCAACTTTTTCATATCTTAAATTAATTTTTGTTTTAAGTTATCAAAACACAGAAAATAAAATGCTAAACAAAAACAACCTTTCCTTTATTAGTCGCTCTCAGTAAAATTTATTTCTTTTATTATGGGCGAGATATATACACCGTATTTTTCGGTGTATAAGACGCACTTTTTTTACCCCAAAATTTAATGTCAAAATCTGC